AAAAAAAAAAAAAAAAGTTAGCTTCAATAAATGACACTTTCTAGAGCTTAGGCAATTTGGGTCATTTAGCTGTGTCAACCTGAATGTACCTGCTGGTTGGTGAGCAGGTAAACAAAGTGCCAAGCAAAGTGCCAAGTGCTGATTTCTTCCTCTTCTTCCATCGTGCTCGTGTTACAGCCTTGAAGACCAGGCTCAAATCCATCTCCGCCAGCGGATTTTCTGGTCTAACCTATCCGTCCCACATTTACTTCCACACTTTGCATAGTCCACATTAAATTACCCTTTGTGTGTCTAAGGTGCTTCATAATAACTGTCTTGTTTCTTCCATCTAACCCCAGTAAGACAATAGGTTTGTTGTGAGAGGGACTAAGACTTTTTTTATTCCCCAAGGCCTAGAACTAAGAGCTCAAAAAGAGCTTACCAAACGAACCAAATCGGGGTATTATCATATGGCCTATTTCATAACTCCTCATCTTTTGTTTTCACATTTAGTATATTCAAAGACATGATAAAGCAGTGGAAAACCAATAGTTTTTCATCAAGTTAACTACTCTTGAAATGTTCAGGGGAAAAGACGTTTAAATTCCAACTCTCTGTCTTTGAATGTCCCAGGAATTAGTTTTTAAAACAATCCTTAACATTAAAAATATTTTAGAAAACAGAAGTTGAAAAGGCTGGCAGTGTGTTGGCAATCCAAATGATAACAACAAATTGATTTTAGCAGCAGAAATTGAAATACGACACCTGGAGCAGCATTTAAATTTGGATGTGTATAAACATCTATATCTTGGTGTCTGAACAAAATCAACTTGAAGCTCATTTAAAAATATTCTATCTGAAAAACGCTGCACACAATCTGGTTAATGTACGTTTTTTGAACTGCGCATATAATAAGAGGACAATTTGTCATTTTCATATACAAATAAAAACACTTCATCTTTTATTACCAAGGCCTGAAGAAACCACATTTTAAAAAAGAATAAATGTGTAGTTTGTGCTTAATAAATAACTTAGAGTGTTAAGAGGTTGGACATATAATTCTAATGTGCCATTTCCATACAGTCTTAAGTTCAAGTCATAAACCTTTCCCAATGTTAAAGGAAGCGAAATCATTTTTTAAAGTATTTGTTTAAAAGATAGACAACTATTCTTCATTTAAGTCCAAGTCAAGAATTTTAGAATGGTTCAATTAGAAATCCTTTGTTTAGCAAATACAGTGACTAGGGGTGGTAGTTACACTAGTAATCTAAAAATAAAACAAGCTATTTCTGGTTTCATTGAATAAGTCATTACAAGTACAATTTGCATCCACAACAAAAGAGTTTAAAATTTAAAAATACTCTTTTCCCCAAGAAAAGAATGTATGCTTCTGAAACAATGTATGTATAAATAAGATTAAACAATACACATTATCAACAAGAAATAAGCAATAACCCTGCCACTATAAAAATGCAAGCCAAAAGCCAATTCACACTAGAATCTTAAATAGCCACATACTGGGGACACTGCAGTTTATTGATCTACAGTCAGCTGTCTTGGCCAGGTGAAGCAGAAATATAACATAATGTTACCGCATTCCTCACTATCAAAGAGAATACGAAATTAGTTTGAAATGTCCTTTGTGACAAAATAATGAATTCCTCCAGTCCCCCTCCAACAAGAGACCTTTTCTAAGGTGGGGAGAACCTGTGGCATATAGAAATAAAGAATGCAAAACATATACCTCCGGCCTCTTTGATGCTGTACAGCTTGACAAGCTGTTTGCATGAAAATAATTCCCTTCAACTCAGGAAACTCAAGGATCTCAAGATAATCTTGAACAACTTTCCAGTCTGGGATCACGTAATGAGTCACATCACTAGACAAGAGTTTCCCATCTGAAACAAAATTCAAAATGTAAGAGATCACACAATGTTTCCAAACCTGGTTTATGACTAAATGTCATAGCGCTCTGGCACGCAGAATAACTTCCTGTCTTAACTCCAAGGTGGGAGTTTTTAAAAGACAAATCTACTTTGGTAGAGGCCGAAAGTTCAGGTATATTGAGCACCCTCATTTTTTTTTGAAGCTGTGACAAACACAAGCTCAACGTGGTTTATGGTGTTGCCGGAGACGCAGGAGAGGATGACACATCTTCAGCATAACCTGAATATTCCCGGGTTAACTCATCATTGACAAACACGTCCCAATGAAGCACCCCCAAATTTATACCACTTGGGTTTGATGCGCAGCCATTTCAAGTGGGCTCTGTGAAGCTTTTCCAAGTGCTCAGCAGCCAAGGGCCACAAGGATTGAATTGAGACAATGCTCCGCGAAGCAAGAGGGCGGAGCTGGGGTTTCCAGCAGGCTCGGCCTGAAGTGTTCCCCTTAACCACAGAGTTCGGGGGATTCCAAACGTTCGCTGACAAGGACCCGCCACGCTCATCCTCCCGTGGGGGAAAGAGAAGCAGTCACGAGATCGTTCTAGAAACCGAGGACGGGTGCTCGGGGGTCCCCGGTGCAAGTTCCCTCCGGCCTTCCTCTCCGGCGCCGGCCCTGACAGTTCGCGAGTCTGCGGGGAACGTCTGGGCGCCCGCGCCGGCCGGGGGCGCCTGAGGCTGCAAAGCCGGCGGCCGGACGCCCCCGGGGGCTCCCCGCGCGGGACCTCGCGTGTCACCGCGACGGCGGGGGGGCCTCGGCGTCCGGCCCCCGGGCCTCTGAGGAGCCGAGCACCGGCCCCGCGCTGCGGCGGGGTCTCTCCGGCCCTTCCATTGGGCAGGGCGGGGCGGTCGGGGAGTCCCGGGCGGGGCGCCCCGGAAGTCGCGGACCCGGGCCACTGGGTTCCGACCGGCAGAGGGCCGGGGTGACGCCGGGGGGCGGGCGCGGGCCGCAGGGCCTAGGCCCCAGAACCCCGCCGCGGGCGCTCCGCCTCCGGGCCGCGCTCGGCCCCTCGCCGCGGCCTCCTGACCTCCCTCTCCCCCCGGCCCCGCTCTTATGGCTGATGCTGCTGTGGCCCAGAGAGTAAGAAACGGGGTCTGGGTGTTTGGGGTGGCAGGGCGCTGGTGGGCCAGGAGGATCCCGTCCCC